ACCCATGTAACCAAAAATTGGTTTACCACAGAATGTTGAAATTACATGACTAATAATTCCAAATCCAGGGATAATTAAAATATAAACTTCTGGATGTCCAAAGAACCAGAATAAATGTTGGTATAATAATGGATCACCACCACCAGCTGGTTCGTAGAAAGAAGTATTAAAATTTCTATCTGTTAATAACATAGTAATTGCACCGGCTAATACTGGTAATGATAATAATAATAATACTGCTGTAATTAATACAGCCCAAGCGAATAATGGTAATTTATGCATTGTTAATCCAGGAGCTCTCATATTAATAATAGTAGTAATGAAGTTAGAAGCACCTAACATTGAACTAATCCCTGCAAGATGTAAACTGAAGATAGCTAAATCAACAGAACCACCAGAATGAGATTGTAAACTAGCTAAAGGTGGATAAACCGTCCATCCTGTACCAGCTCCATTTTCTACAAAACTACTAGCTAATAATAAGATTAACGCTGGAGGTAATAACCAGAATGAGATATTATTTAATCGTGGGAAAGCCATATCTACAGCACCAATCATAACTGGTACTAAGAAATTACCAAAACCTCCAATTAAAGCTGGCATACAATTTATCCATTAACTTTCGTTAATGGCTGGACTATATCTTTACCCTTAAATATAAACTTTAAATTCCTCTAAAGAGGAAGGGAGAGCTTAGATTTACTAGGGTATTTCACGTGTAGTCTCTGAGGATCCTACTTGATAAAAGTGTTATTACTTATAATTAAGTCCTTTTATTTTTGGTTTCCTGCTGATTGCCTAATCATTTAAATGTTACTATATTCTATCGCTTTTCATTTAAGAAAGTCTATAGTACTAGTTTTAAATGCTCTTAAGGTGTTCCAGCAAATAGTGAAAAGAAAATAAAGTCTTTCAACTTTATCCGGCCATGCCATAATAATAAAATAAATTATTCATTGTTATTTGTATCTTTGACTGAACTAGAATTTAAATAAGTAAATTTCCATTTACCTCGATAATATCCAGATTTAGTACCATTTAAATAACTTCTAATAACAGATCGATCTCCTTTTAAAGCTTTAGCTAAAGAATTTAATGAATTAAATTCTCTATTAAGATTTATATCATCTTTGAATTCAGCTAATATTACTTTAGCTGCAGGATGTTTAACTGTATAAATATCCCTTTTTTCTTTAACTAGAGCTATAATTTCCTCTAATGGTAATAAGTTTATTTTATTACTTTCTTCAATTTCATCTAAAGAAAAAAAAAATTCATCTAAATATACTGATCCTGTATCTAAACAATCATTTAAAGTATTATGATGTATACTTATTGAATTATACATATGTTGTTTAGAATCAAATATATGTAATAAAGTAAAATCTGTTATATTATATACATATATAAGAATTCCTCTTTCTTTTCTTAATTTAATTCTAATTTGTTCATCCATAGGCTCATGATATCCTGAACTACTAGCCACTAAATCAACATTTAAATTTGATTTTAATGAATCAATAAAATATTGTTCTAATTTTACTAAATCATTTATATTTGTAGAATAATCTACTATTAATATAGTTAATTTTATATTATTAAAACCGTATTTATTGAAGTATCTAAGAACTCTACGAGCTTTAGTTTTAAGTATAGAAGGCATAAAATAAGAACTTATACGATTATATAAATTTATAGAATGACCTACATATTTATTATGACCATCTAAAGATTCCCATATATATATACCTTTTTCTTTTTTAGCTATTTTTAAAATAATATCTCTATTATTATATGGATCATTTACTTCTATTTTAGTAAATTTAGGTAAATCATTTGGTAATTCATTAGATCCATTTGAATTATCTTCCTGTGTAGAATAAACTGAAGAATTAGATGTATAATTATTATTTATAGAAATATCTGAGTTATTATTATTTATAGATATATCTGAGTTATTATTTTTTACAAATAACAATGAAAAATTATTAAAAATGTGCGTATTGTTAACCAAGAAGAAAATCATAATAAAAGCATGAGCAGTAACAATTACGTTATATAATTGATGATCACCTTGTAAATATTGTATTCCTGGTCCTGCTAATTCTAATCTAATTAACATAGAAAATGCAGTACCTATCATACCTGAGAATAATGCAAAAATTAAGTATAGAGTACCTATATCTTTAGCATTTGTTGAAAAAAGCCAACGTACCATAATTTTTTGTTTATGAAAATCCTTTATTTATTAAATATTTTAATGAGACTTTAAAAGATCATTATAAGAAAAAAATGTAAAAGTTTATCCGTCGTGAGGATAAAAATGAATAAATAATTCACTATGTAAATAGGCCTATCCACCGAGCCATGATCGGTAGCTAATTAACTATCATCTAGACTGAATTTTAATTTATCTCTTTATTTATAGATAATTCTCCCTTCGGAAAATAAGTTTACAAAACAATCTATGTCCTTAAGGGTCACCTGCGTAAGCAGGTAGAATTTAAACAATATAAAGATAGAAGATTCGAATTATTTAAGCTCTCAAATCTTAATTTTAATGATCCTAAAAAGATTAATTATGTAATTACTGATTATTATATATGATAATATTAAATTATGGTCAAGTTTTAATCTTTTATTAAAAAATAAAATAAAGAGATAAATAAGTAAATTAGAGTAAGTTTTTAAATAGCCATTTTATTATTAGACTAATTATCCTGTAAATTGAAAGTTCAATAACTTCTTCCCTTTTCAATTTTAAATGTTTTTATTTTTAAAATAAAACTCTAATAGAAAGTTAACAGGAATGGTCTTTAAAACTCTCATTTCGCGAAAGTTTGTAAAATATCTTTATTTAAACCATATAATAATGTTAATCAAATATTTATAATTTTATTAATTTTTTAATTAATAATATTATCTTTACTATAAAATACTAAAATTATCACAATAATACTAAAATTATCACAATAATACTAAAATTATCATAAAATACTAAAATTATCATAACATAAGTATAGAAAAGTATATAAATCTCTAAACTTAATAAAAATAAAAAGATATTCTAATTCACTAAATAAATAATTTATATTATTAACATTCCTATTAGGCCCCTTTACAAGTTTTTCATATATATTATATATAATAGGAGATTAGCTTAATGGTCAGAGCAACTTACTTACAATAAGAAGAAATAAGTTCGATTCTTTTATTTCCTAAATCGAGTGGAATACAAATGTTTATTATTCTTACTTTAACGGTATATAATTTGTCAAATATAATTACTAAAAAAGAAAATTATTTAAAAACAAATAGATAATATCTACATCTTTAATTTTTAAAAATAAAAAATAATAAGGATTCAATATACCGTTGCTAGCAACGGTAAATTTAAAAATATTACATAATATTTTTAAACACCCCCTCTTTGAGTTTTGTCTTAGGATTACAATTAAAGGAAAGTCCAGAATACTAAAATTAAGAAAAATAATCATTAATATTAATATTTTATTTTTTTCTTAATTATCCAAAAGAATATTATAATTATTTTTAATTTGGAATATAATAATATTTTAAAAAATCATTAAAAATTGAGGTTCTTTTAAAGAAATCTAATCTTTTTACTCTACCCTCTTCCCCCTTTAAAATAATTTATTAGGGAGGAGCCTAGGAGTCTAATTTTTAAAGGCTCTTACAAGAGATTATGTCATAAGATAATACATAGGAAAAATTAAACCTTAAAAATATAAGACTGTTAATATAAGACCTATTATAGTTTAGCTCTTTAAGAGTAAGATGGATTTTTATGAAAATAGATATAATTTAGTAAAAATATAAATTAAATATCTGTCTTTTAAAAAGAACTATTTATATAAGAAAAATATTCTATATAATTAACTATACTGAATCTGGCTTATAATAATCTAAGACACCCAACACACTTTTCACTATTATTAAAAAATAAAATAAATTCTAAAACATCCTGAAAGAATTAAAATATAATTTAAGTCCAAAAAACCTATTTTTCAAAAATTTAAATTTTCTATACTTTTTTAGATCTTTTATACTAATTATATTTATGGTTTTTGTGTTATATTAATAAAAATATAAGAAAATTAGATTATACATTAATACTTTTCTTTAAGATGACCCTTCAAGACCTCTTGAATTTTTGTTCTTTTACTAAAATAATAATATAAAATTATAATTGTTTAGTATTCATATAAATAAAAGTTTAATTCTTCGGCCTCCGGCATAAAAAAATAATTTAATTAAAAAAATTATATATTTTTTTCTAAATAAAATAATAAGGTTAGTTAGCATAATGGTAATGTATTGGTTTGCAAAACTTAAAGATGTATGTTCGAATCATACACTAACCTAAATTTATTAATAAAACTAAATAAGATTGATTCCTCTTAAATAGTCTTTTTTATTTTTACTAAGTTTTGATTACTTGTTATTTCCCCTCTTCAAAGGAAAGAATCTTTCTTTTTAAGTACTTTTACATTAAAGTATATTTTAATATGAATATTTTAATATTTTTATATAAATATCTTAATATTTCTATAACATTATACTTGACTTATTTAATTATACTTGACTTATTTAATTATACTTGACTTATTTAATTATACATCCTACGAATAAATTTCTAAAAGATAAGATAAATTCTTCTTTTTCTATTAAAAAGGGGGATTTTTAATCCCTTGGTTTATAACTACTCCAAAGCACGTTCCCGTACCATGACTATGTTTCGACTTAACAGCAGTTGTGAAGTAATGGACATAAGGAGAATCCTAAATATAAATTATATCTGTGTACCATTTTAAGGGTAACTATCATAGTAAAATAAAATTATAAGTAAAACCTCCCTATTTGAGATCACTTCACTTCCGCCGCTTGACGAGCGATTTGTACACGCCGAATATTATGTTTCACCAGGACATCCTGATTCCTGATTACTAGCAATTCCTACTTCATATAATCGAGTTGCAGATTATAATTCGTTT